TGTCAACCTGTTTTTGGCGCATAATTTAATCGACCTACATAAAGTATGCCTTAGCAACGGACTTGCGGATGTGTACACTTACACTACAACTCAGTGTATCAGCTGTGTGGATGAAGCTAGTGGTGTGTCCTCAGAAAGCGTGAGAAGCAAAACAAACATTTTATTCCCCACTGAGTTTTAAATCTAAAGTATGGCAACAATTATGGATTTGGAAAAAGGATGGACGACATGACAGGACAGATGCAATTTGCAAAATGTGCCGCGCATCTGTAAAATACACGGGCAGTACGACTAATCTGAAATCTCACTTGAAGCGGCGCCACGGTGTTGTTGTGGAAGCATCTTCCAGTGTTCCTGCATCCCCGGCTTCCTGCTCTGCTTCAACTGTAGCTAGAGTACCAGCTCCAAAAGTGGTGAGAAAAGCATTGCAAGTTTTTTCCATGCGCAACAGTTTCGTGCGCTCTACGCCAATAACGAATGCTATTGCATTGTTCATCTGCAAAGATTTTCAGCCTATTGTCACGGAGAACGAAGGCTTTAAACACCTCCTGTTAATTTTTATTTATTTATATTTTTATTAGCCTGTTGTTTACAGTGACAGTGATGTTTCAACGCAGCATAACACTGCTAGTTCACCACCTTAAGTTTTGAATAATCAGTGGCACAATATATCTTTGTAAAACTTGTTTTCATAGTTGAAAAGTTAAATCACAATTCTTGTTGTGCAATGCTAAACCTTTATGTGGAAAGAGTGCAAATATATGTATTTTTAATATTTATTGCACTTATACATTCTGTTTATCTTGAAAATCCTTAAATAATATGTGCTATAGGTTCCAAAATGGCTCTCTACTGTAAACTGACACTCTGGCTCTGAGAGAAAAGCCAGTTTGTAAAAAAAGTCTTGGTTTTGCTTGGTTAATAAATAATCAAACTCATTCAATGGCACAGCATCCTTTCTTACATCATCTCATAAACTTGATTTAATAAGTTAGTGCTGAATTATCGCATTGTATCGTGATATGGGTGTGAATCGTATCGTGTCGCATCGCAATATGTCACAAATGTATCGCTAATATATCGGATCGTATTCTTTGTATCGAGATGCGTATCGGATCGGCATTATAGCTTAGATGCCCAACCCTAGTTGCCATAGCTGTTCTTTTCCCCTCTCTCTCGCGTCTGCAGCTGGTTCAGAACGCAGCTGCCAGGCTCTTAACAGGCACAAAAAAACGAGAGCACATTACACCTGTACTGGTTTCTCTACACTGGCTGCCAATCCAGTTTAGAATTCAGTACAAAATTCTGTTGTATGTTTTAAAATCCCTCCATGGCCTGTCCCCAAAGTATATTTCTGAGCTAATTATTATGCACCAACCCATACCTGTCAACATTGGGATTGTCCCCCATAGGTTCCTTTGTTTTTTAAAACATGGGAATTTATTTTAAAAAGTATATTTCTTCCAATAAATTGATTACCTTTTCATTTTGAATTAATTTGATCTGTTTTATGTGCAGCGATTTGGCACCCATTGTGGTTTGTTGAATGTGCTATAGAAATAAAGTGAGTTGAGTTGAGATGTGCTTCAGCGTCAACACTTGACTTAAGGTGTGTCTGAAGTTGGGGCTCGTCATAGCAAATAAATCCCCAAATTACTACATTACTACGAAAGCAAAAAATGCTTTTCTTGTTTAAAATGTTTGTCTTGTTTCTAGTCTAAAAATCTAAAATGTCTTATATCAAGAAGAATTTTCTTGACAAGCAAAACATATTTTCTTGTTTTGAGAAATAATACGCCAATATTAAGTGAGTTTTTCCTTAAAACAAGCAAAATAATCTGCCAATGGGGTAAGCAAATTAATCTTGTTTTTTCTTTTGACGTAAGATTATTTTGCTTACCCCATTGGCAGAATTTTTTGCTTATTTTAAGAAAAAACTCACTTAATATTGGCATATTATTTCTCAAAACAAGACAATATGTTGTGCTTGTGTATAACATTCTTCTTGATTTAGGAATTTTTTGATATTTGGACTAGAAACAAGACAAAAAAAATCTAAGTAAGAAAAGCATTTTTTGCAGTGTAGGATCATTTGGAGCTGTTTCATTGTAAAAAAACAGTTAAATGGTCAGTAATATGTTTTATTATTATTATTATTATTTACAAAAGAAAAAATAACTATATACATTAGCAGCAAACAAATGAGCAAACAGTTCAGTTTATAAAATTAATAGCTACTATAATGAAATAGAATCAAGCTATCAAATCTCTCTAACCTTTTCTTCACTGTATAACGTACACATTCTGATTAAAGAGAAACAAATGAATCTTATTTATTTAGATTTTTTTTGTTTGATTACATTAAATAACAGTTGTCACTTTAAAAATGCACACATCTGCCAATGTAATGAAAGCATTCGACCGCTTTTCTAACTTTTTATGTTCATTTAAGACGAAATTAGTTGTGTTTGAAAAAAAAAAAACACCCAGATCGACATCTTTAGATATTATATGTCTGTTCAAACACACACCCAAAAGCCAAACTTTCGCTCCACTTCAAATCGCGTGTACAGAATCCGTTTGGGAAACAGCGTCTGTTTATCACTATAGAGTGCGTCAGCTGACAGTCACGCACCATTATATGACTGTTCTGAGGATTGCATAGGAGGTGTGACGGCACCTGTAATGAAAAGGAAGAGGAATCGCGCCGTTTTTATATTTATTTCAAAGTGTTTTCGTGCCTAAACAGAACAGACTCACATTTAAGAGCAAGGGGCGGCCTCTGGTGGTTTGGCGTTATGGGTTGAGTATGAGGCTCGGCTATTTAATGTTTCTTGTCACCTTTAAGAGAAACACTGAAAATACGGGAGAAATACGGGAAAACACCTTTACAGGATCATAGCGGGATAGAACTGTAAAATACGGGGGAATCCCGGGAAAAACGGGAGGGTTGACTCTATTTGCAAGTTCCACGGTCACGCTTAAAATGTCGGGGTGATAGAGCTTTCTCAGTAGCGGCTCCAAGACTTTGGAACGATCTTCCACTCTCTTTAAGAACAGCTCAAACTTCTGAGGTCACTGAAAACACACTTATTTTCTTCAGCTTTTAATCATGTGATGTGAGTTCATGTATTTTGGTTTTGTGTATATTTGCATGTGTTTTATCTGTTTTATGTACACTGTAAAAAGTTCTTCAAGGGTGTTGTCCATGAGAATTTATTTTAAAAAGTATATTTCTTCCAATAAATTGATTACCTAATCATTTTGAATTAATTTGATCTGTTTTATGTGCAGCACTTTGGCACCCATTGTGGTTTGTTGAATGTGCTATAGAAATAAAGTGAGTTGAGTTGAGATGAGCTTCAGCGTCAACACTTGACTGAAGGTGTGTCTGAAGTTGGGGCTAACCTAAGGGTGGGCAAACTCGGTTCTGGAGGGCCGGTGTCCTGCATAGTTTAGCTTCAGCTCTAATCAAAAACACCTGAACATGCCAATCAGTGTCTTCAAGATCACTAGAAATCTATGAGCAGGTGTGTTTGATTAGAGCTGGAGGTAAACTGTGCAGGACACCGGTCCTCCAGGACCGAGTTTGCCAACCCCTGGGCTAACCTGATCCTCATAGCAGCGTCAGCCAATGAAATTCAGTCAGCAATAGGCCACTGTCTAGCTGGTGTATTTGCATACAGCGATCTGATTGCAGTGGCGCAAAAAGGGGGTATGCAGTATATGCGGCGCATAGGGGCGCCACACATGGGGGGACGCCATTGTGCCAAAACTATTTTTGAAATTATCCTTACTAAAAGTTTCAAATAAAATAAATAAATAAATAAATATGTTTTGTTAAAAATGTTTTTTTTTTGCATTTTGTATGAGTATAATATTGTATTTTAATAAATAAAAAATTATACCATGAGTTGCATACGTTGGCACACACATTTTAATTCAAAATCAACACAATAACATGCAGTCGCAGAGCCAAGTGTAAAGTGTTCATGTAAATGTAACTTTAGATTTTTTTTTTTTTACAATTTTTATCAAAATAAAACTGTCAAATCATACATACAGTACAGTTGAGGTCAAAAGTTATAAGATTAATCTGAATTTTTTCTTTCTTTATTATTGTTTATTATTAATTATTTAATTATTTTGCCTAAATAAGAGGGATCACACAAAATGTATGTTTATGTAAGTACAGACCTATTTCACATAAACCGATATTTCAGATAAAATATTTGGATTAAAAATTCACCTATATAAATATTATATACTTGATTATAATGATTCTTAACCCTGTTAAAGTTGACACATGAACAAATTGTCCGAATATTCAAATTTTTTGGAACTGAAATGTTTTTAATCCTTCTATCAAGATCCATTTTATACAATATACATGTTTTTATAAATTTATTATGTGTCATATTGATAAATCAGGCCTTTTGGTAACTTTTTTGTTCAAAACTATTTTATTTTAGTTACAAAACTTGAACCCGCATACCTCTCAGTATATGTGTAGTTGCGCCCCTGTCTGATTGGCTAACGCTTCCGTTGGCGCTTGAAAAGGTGAGCTAGTCCCAACTTCTGCAGCGAGCAACGCCTCTGAAGCGGCGCCAACGGATCCACAATGCAGTTCAGCAACGCCTGACGTCACCCATTCAAAGTGAATGGGAAGCGTTGACGTTAAAGGTGCTCTAGCGACAGATGCTAGAGGCCAAGGTATTTAGCCTACTTGGTAAAGCACCCGACTCCCATGCGGAAGGTTGCTAGTATGAAACCAGCTTGGAGCGGGTTGGGTGGTGTAGGACCGGCGGGGTTACATTATTCTACCCGCTGCACTTGACAGTATAAACAGACCTGACATGAGAAAGGATTTTACTGGTTTCAAACCTTTCAGTCACCAGGGCAAGCTATTTTGATCAAGAATTATCCAAAACAATCTTTAGGGAGTAATGCACACACACACACACACACACACACACACACACACACACACACACACTCACCTCCCAGGTGCCCTCATACGACTGCTTCTTAAGCCGGATGGCCCAGTTCTCCAGGCAGGCATCTGAGCAGTGGTCCATGCAGAGGATGACGGGCCGGGTGAGCATGACGCCGGGCGGTCCGCAGCTCACCACGGGGCTCAGCAGCGTCTGACAGCCCGCCAGCGGCAGCCTGGAGCACACACACACACACACACACCAGTCAAACATCTATAACTGCTGCTGAATCAAGATCTGACTCTCACATCTGCACTGACACACAGCAGGAGCCGCAGCAGAAATAACCTGAGCTGCTCTCCCACTGAGAAACACTACAACTGAAGAGCACACTCCTCTCGCTGAGGTCGCTGCACACGCATTTACATACTTTTCATTTCTTTATTTATTTACTGCCACATCAGCAGCTTATAGTTATTTCATGGCAAGATCAATATACAGTACTGTGCAAAACAACACTAGTATTCTCACCTAAAGAGATTTAAAGCTGGTTATTTCTATATGTTTCTGTTGCATGCGAGTTTGAAATATCCATTTACATTTCCAAACATTATTTCTGTCATTAATTGTACATATACAGTGGTATAAGTATTGTCTGCGCAAGACGTTTGCCAGCAGCCAGTGATCTGCACAACAAGATCTGATCTGATCATCATCTAGTCCAAGGGTGTCAAACTCAGTTCCTGGAGGGCAGCAGCTCTGCACAATTTAGTTCCAACCCTGCTCCAACACACTTACCTGTAGGCTTCAAACAAGCCTGAAGGACTCATTTAGTTTGATCATGTGTGTTTAATTAGATTTGGAACTAAACCGTGCAGAGCTTCGGCTCTCCAGAAACTGAGTTTGACACCTGTGGTCTAGTCTGTCTGGACATAGATGCATAGACTCATCTATAAGAAGTAAGATGAGTACAGTGCATCCGGAAAGTATTCATATCACTCTTTCCATTTGTTTTTATGTTACAGCCTTATTCCACAATGGATTAAATTGATTGATTTCCTCAACATTGTACACACAATCCCCCATAATGACAATGTGAAGAAAGAGTTTTTGAAATAGTCGCAAATTTATTAAAAAGAAAAATCTGTAAAATCACATGTACATCAGTCTTTACAGCCTTTGGCGTGAAGCTCTAAACTGAGCTCAGGTCCATTCTGTTTCCACTGATCATCCTTGAGATGTTTCAGCAGCTTCATTAGAGTTCAACTGTGCTCAATTCAATTGATGGACATGATCTGAAAAGGCTACACCTGTCTATATAAGGGCCCAGGGTTGACAGTGCATGTCAAAGCACAAACCAAGCATGAAGACAAAGGAATTGTCTGTAGACCTCTGAGACAGGATTGTCTGGAGGCACAAGGCTGGGGAAGGTTACAGAAACATTTCTGCTGCTCTGAAAGTTCAAATGAGCACAGCGGCCTCCATCATCCGTAAGTGGAAGATGTTTGACCACCAGGACTCTTCCTAGAGCTGGCCGGACATCTAAGCTGTGTAATCGGGGGTGAAGGGCCTTAGTCAGGGAGGTGATCAATTTTCCGATGGTCACTCTGTCTGAGCTCCAGCGTTCTTCTGTGGAGAGAGGAGAACCTTACAGAAGGACAACCATCTGTGCAGCAATCCACCAATCAGGCATCTGTATGGTAGAGCGGCCAGACGGAAGACACTCCCCACCTGGAGTTTGCCAAAAGGCATCTGAAGGACTCTCAGACCATCAGAAACTAAACTCTCTGCTCTGATGAGACTAAACTTGAACTCTTTGGAGTGAACGCCAGGCGTTACGTTTGGAGAAAAGCAGGCAGCGCTCATCACCAGGCTAACAGCATCCCTACAGTGAAGCATGGTGGTGTTGGCATCATGCTGTGGGGATGTGTTTCAGCAGCAGGAACTGGAAGACTAGTCAGGATAGAGGGAAAGATGAATGCAACGATGTACAGAGACATCCTTAATGAAGACCTGCACAAGAGTGCTCTTGACCTCAGACTGGGGCGACGGTTCATCTTCCAGCAGGACAATGACCCAAAGCACACCGCCAAAATATCAATGGAGTGGCTTCACTCAACAACTTTGAGCGGCCCAACCAGAGCCTGGACCTAAATCCTATTAAACATCTCTGAAAATGGCTGTATATTGTCGCTTCCGATCCAACCTGATAGAGCTTGAGAGGTGCTGGATAGAGGAATGGGCGAAAATTCCCAAAGACAGGTGTGCCAAGCTTGTGGCATCATATTCAAGAAGACTTGAGGCTGTAATCGCTGCCAAAGGTGCATCAACAAAGTATTGAGCAAAGCCTGTGAATACTGATGTACATCTGATTTTACAGCTTTTTAATTTTTAATTAATTTGCAACAATTTTAAAACTCTTTTTCCACATTGTCAATATGAGGGATTGTGTGTAGAATGTTGAGGAAATAAATCAATGTAATCCATTTTGGAAAAGGGCTGTAACATTAAAACATGTGGAAACAGTGAAGCACTATGAATACTCTCCGGATGCACTATAAGTAAGAACAATTAGGTCCTCATAAGCATAGCTAAACCAGTACAAACCCACACTCACAGGTTGTTCTGTGTCAGGTCTTTCTATAGTGTGCAGTGGTTTCTGTGTGCGTCTCTCACCTCATGTCTTCCTTCTTCTGAATAGTGAGGTAAATCTCGTAAATCTTGCCTCTGGGAATGGCCTCTGGCGGGATGAGCAGGCTGATTCCTGATGTAAACATGAACAAAAGAGACGAGTTAGTCTCATCTGATCCGTCTGAACGCTGGCTTCTGTCGCACGCTCACAGACGGCTTTATGTGACACAAGGAAATGTAGTTTCACAAATCCACAGTCCAGATCAGAGCTTTCAGATGCATCAGACTTTCTGTCCTGAAGCTGGAGATCAACTAATGTCACTAGTGTTTCTGCCTTTTCAGTAAAAGTTGCAATGTGTTTAGGGATCGATATGTTTATTAAATTAAGTAATAAAAACTTTCTGAGTGGTGTTTGGCTGGGTGTAAACTTTCAAATTGACAGCACAATACAAAATGAAAGCATATCCTATATATAATAACATATTAAATCAAAAATTATCAGAATAAAACTCTGGATCATAAACCTAAACTTCTTGGTGTGTAACAAAACTAAGGAGGGCAGAACAAAACAAAAGCAGAACTATAAAATACAAAAACAAACAAAAGAAAATAGGCCTTAGCATGCAATTAATCTTAAAAAATAAATAAATAAATAAATAAGTAAAAAAAAATAAAAAAAAATAAAAAATAAATAAAGAAAAAAAATAAAAGCCTTGGCATACAATTTATCTTAAGATATATTAAAACAAAATAAACTAAAGCTTTGGCATGATTTTATTCTTAAGTTAAAATAAGTAAGTAAATAAATAAATAAATAAAATAAAATAAACCTTGGCATGCATTTAATCTTAAGATAAAATAAAAAAATTAATAAAATAAACATTGGCATGCATTTATTCTTAAAATATTATATATATATAAAAAAATTTAATTAAACCTTGGCATACATTGAATATTAAGATAGAACAATATAAATAAATATAATAAAATAAACCTTGGCAGGCCTTTAATCTTAAAATAAATAAATAAAAAATTTTGAATAAATAAAAAATAATAAGATAAACCTTGGTATGCATTTAATCGTAAGATAAATAACTAAGTATATAAAAACAAATAATAATAAAATAATAAATAAACATTGACAAGAAATTAATCTTAAAATAAAATAAATTAAAATAAAATAATATAGAATAAAATAAAATAGAATAAAACATGGTATGAATTCAATCCTAATATAAAACAATATAATTATTAAATATAATAAATAAACCTTGGCATACATTTAATCTTAAGATAAAATACGCAAATAAGTAAAATAAATAAATAAATAAATAAATAAATAAATAAATAAATAAACCTTGGCAACTTGGCAAGCATTTAATCTACAGATAAAATAAAATAAACCTCGGCATGCATTTAATCGTAAGATAAAATAAATGAATAAATTAATAAATAAATAAATTAATAAATTTATTAATTAAATTAACATTTGGCATGGATTTAATCTTATGAATAAAATAATTAAAATAAATAAAATTAAAGCCTTGACATGCAATTTATCTTAGGATATTATATATTAAAATTAAATAAAATTAAACTTTGGCATATATTTTATCTTAAGATAGAACAATGTGAATAAATATAATAAAACAAACCTTGGCATGCCTTTAATCTTACAATGAAAAAAAAGTAAAATAAATAAAATATAATGATATAAACCTTGGCCTGGATTTAATCATAAGATAAATAACTAAAGTAAATAAATAAATAAATAACTAAATAAATAAATAAAATGGCATGCAATTAATCTTAAAATACATAATTAAATAAAACAAAACAAAAATAATATGTAAAAAAATAAATAAATAAAACTGGCATGCAATTCATCTTATTATATTATTTTGTACAAAATAAAAAAATAAAAATTTCAGAAACTTCTCTGGGTCATAGTCAGGGAACTTTTTAAAATTTGTCCACATTCAGAAAGATTATGACTTGCAAAAATATAGGAAATAATTAATGTTAGATTATTTTTTTCATTGTGGACAATACAAATATGGTATTTTTGCAATCACAGAGGCCTTCAGCTCATGAAGTCAACACAAAAGCAGCCTTAGACCCAAAACATCCTAAAAAACAGCCCTAGAGTCTGTTTAAAGTGTGGTGTGATGAACTGCAGAAGCTCTGTCTGTGATTAAGGACATTAATGAGTGTAAATGAACTGAACTGATGTCCTCCGAGCGGATTGAGTTTCAGAGCTGTGTGTGAATGTGAGCAGAAACAAGAGCTTCCTCAATTACTGCAGTTGCTATCCAGCCATCCAATACTCCACATTGTCAAAATACAGTCGTTAGAGTAGAAATGGAGGCACTTTCTTAGACTGTTTTCTTAAAAAGAAGCTTGTCTTCAGAAGGTGTTCACAGATTTACATAAAACTGCGTGGATTAGTATGTAATTGGATCACTTCACCTTTCAGTGTTAAATTGCGTCTCTGTAGTTTAACTAAAAGCTCCAGCACTGAACACACAAACACAGCACAGAAACATCTCATCTCTCGCGATTGATGGACAAGATTTAATGCTATTTCACATAATCTAAATATTCAAAAATGTCTATTTGTCTGGTTCAGGATCTCAGATAATTATTTGAATTTAAATTTCATTTTAGAAAATTAAATATATTAAGTTTAATAATACAAATAAATATATACTTGTGTATAAAATCAAAAAATGCAATAAAAATGGATTTAGTTGTAACTGTATATATATATATATATATATATATATATATATATATATATATATATATATATATATATATATATATATATATATACACACAGTTGAAGTCAGAATTATTAGACCCCTTGTTTATTTTTTTTTTCTCAATTTCTGTTTAACGGAAAGAAGATTTTTTTTTCAACACATTTCTAAGCATAAAAGTTCTAATAACTTATTTCTAATAATTGATTTATTTTATCTTTGTCATGATGACAGTAAATAATATTTGACTAGATATTTTTCAAGACGCTTCTATACAGCTTAAAGTGACAGTTAAAGGCTTAACTAGGTTAATTAGGTTAACTAGGCAGGTTAGGGTAATTAGGCAAGTTATTGTATAAAGATGGTTTATTCTGTAAACTATTGCAAAAAAAAAAATTGCTTAATAATTTTGTCCTTAAAATGGTTATTAAAAAATTAATAACTGTTTTAATTCTAGTCGAAATAAAACAAATAAGACTTTCTCCAGAAGAAAAAATATTATCAGACATACTGTG